AATTTTTTCATACAATACATTTTCGTTGATCATGGTTTTCCTCTCCTAATTTCTCTCAGATTCATCCTACCTCTCTATCCACCCAACATTATATTCTTTTATAGATTTTCTTTTTAAAATTGTGTGTGTGTGTGTGTGTGTGTGTGTGTGTGTGTGTGTCCGCGCGCGCTTTGCCTGCATACATGTCTAGGCAATGTGTCTATCCCTGGTGATGATGGAGGATAGAAGAGGGCACAGATCCCCTGGAACTAGAGATACAAAAGGTTGCTAGCTGTCATGTGGGTGCTGAGAATTAAACCTGGGTCCTCTAGAAGAGCCACCACTGCTCTTAATCGCTGAGCTGTCTCTCTAGCCTCCTTTTTTTAGTCTTGAAAATTATGTGTGCCTGTGTGCATGTGTGTGTGTCCATTACATGAGTGCAGGCTTCTGCAATAGCTAGGAGAAGGTATTGTATCCCCTGGAGCTACAATTCCAGGTGGTTGTGAGCAACTCAGTGTGGATGTTGGGAACCAGCTAGGTCCTCTGTAGGAGTAGTATGTGTTCTTAATCACCAAGCCATTCCTCCAGACTTTTCTAATGTAAGCTTCCCACAACCCAATAGTCTTTAGTATCTCCTATTTTGATATATGCTTATGTTAGTTAATATTTTTTACTGGATATTACATTTTCTATGTCATATGGTATTTTGAGAGTTTTTTTTTCAGATTGTGTTTAAAATTTGTTAATGAGTTAAACTACTCACTATATCTTGGTATATATCTATATATGGCTAGGAATTTAAGATTTGGATGTATAGTTTTGCTTTTTTATTTAAAGTTGAGTTTTGAAGCCAGGCGTGGTGGTGGATGCCTTTAATCTTGGGAAGCAGAGGTAGGCAGAGGCAGAGATATTTATGAGTTACAAAGCAAGCTCCAGGTTACAAAGCAAGCTCCAGGACAGATAGAACTATTACACAGAGAAACCCTGTCTCAAAAACCCTAAATAATAATAAATAAATAATACATATAATTGGGTTTTAAATGGTTTTTTTAAAGCAAAGAATATATAAAATTACTAAGAAAAAATGTATAAGTTTGCTAAATGTACTGTTTTCTGAGCTAATGAGTTCTCTATCTTTAGTAGTCATGAATGAGCATCAAAGTTGGGATATGTAGAACTTTCTAGGCTTGCTACTCTTGGTAGCTGATGGTTGGGATTTGGCAGGTGAAACATTGTTCCTTTCCCTCTCATACTCTACCATCACTTTTGTCCCAGTGAGGGCTTGGCACCTGGCCTGCTAGGCCCCATGTTTAAGGCGCTCTGCACCTCAGTCTAGCTTATGTGGTAATTGCGCCAGCCATAAGTTTCCTATCCAAAGTGGCCTGACCATTGGGTGTCTCAGGACCCTTTACCGTAATTTAAACTGCAAACAAGAAAGTGGACACCATAGGTATCTGTGGTTACTAACTTAGGCATTGTGTTCTTAGCCCTTGTCTGACTGCTCCTCACTTCTTCTCCCCCTCCCCTTATAGTTCCCACCATGCAGTCCAGGCTGCCCTCAAACTCGTGGTTCTTCTGCCTCTGTCTCTTGAACACTGCTACTACAAGTGCATGCCACCAGGCATGACTGTTGCTATAGTTTTCTTGTCCCGCCAGCTCCCACTGCCCTTCTCAGCCCCAGATAAACACACGGATGCTTTATTAATTATTAAACTGTTGGCCGATGGCTAGGGCTTCTTATTGGCTAGCTCTATCTTAATTATTAACCCATTACTACTAATTTATGTATTTCTACATGGCCTTCTCTTACCAGAAATCGCCTGGCACATCCTATCTTCCAGGTCTCCACATGGTGTCCTTCTCAAGGGCTCCCTCTGCCTACTTTTCCCAGAATTCTCCTCATCTCCTAGTCACACCTGTCTTTCTGCCTCTATTGGATATTGGCCAAACAGTGTTTTATTCATAACCAATAAGAGAAACATGCATACAGAAGGACATTCCCCATCATGTGGCTACAAAAATCATCTTCCCTTGCTAGAGACCAAGCTCATGGCTCACACACATGCTAGGTACATCCTGTACAGCAGAGGTGCATCTCCCCTCATTTCCTGTAACATTGTCTACAGTTCAGGGCTGTCTCCATATCCACCAATCTGTGTCAGCAGGTAGGAGAGGCAATCACTGAATAGTTCACTTTATTTGGTTTGTCACAATTTCATAAGCTTATTACTGTACTTACTAATTTTAAGGGTATCAAACAAAATACAGTGTGTTATCAATGAGAAGCCTTAGATGGACTGCAGCAGTCTTTGGGGACTCTAGAGTCCTGAACTATAGACTAGTGACTTTGCTGACAATGTTGAATGTACTTAACTCTCATGACGATTTACAATAGCTATGGAGAAAGAGATTGCCAGGAGAAAGTGGGGCAGATTCTCCTGCATTATATGTTATATCCATCCCAGGGCTCCTTGCACTACACTAAGACACAAAGCGCATACAGGGCGTTTGTTTTAGGCAACTTTTCAAATTGTGCTGTAGGCTCCTAGGAAAATGTCCTTATCCATCAATAGAGAATAGACACGAGAAACTTTCTTGAAGCCTTCTGTTTCATGGTTGTTTGTTTTATTTTGTTTTTTGGCTTTTCGAGACAAGGATTTTCTGTGTAGCTTTGGAGCCTGCCCTGGAACTCACTTTGTAGACCAGGTTGGCCTTGAATTCACAGAGATCCGCCTACCTCTGCCTCCTGATTGCTGGGATTAAAGGCATGCACCACTACCACCTGGCCATATCCCATGTTTAATATTCCTTTAACTTAAAAATAAGTTTTGTATAAGTTTTAAAATCTAAATTTTAGAATGTGGAACATTGGTTGAGATTTAAGCTAGATACCTTAAGAAGTATGCATACTTAGACCAATAAATTCACTAAATCTAGGTTGTCCAGAATAACTCATGTTAACTTTAAAAAGTGACCCAACCTGAAGATATTATTAAAAAAAAAAAAAAAGATTGTATAGAACTGTTAGGCTGTGTAGAGAGCTAGATTGAAAATAATGATGTTCTCTATCCTGTAATGTCTCCTTTTTCCTTTGTTTAACATAATTTAAAATATTTTTCCTGATAAATTTTCAAAACTGGTTATGGAATGTATTAAAGAAATAGTATTCTCTTATATTTTATTTCTGATGCATAATCATAGCCATAAACACATCCTGTAAATTATCCATCTAGAATGTTCTTTATGCTTTGATTTATTTTCAGTGTTTTCTTAAATGATACATGATGCATCTCATTATTATACTTAAATAAACGGGTCACTATCAAGATATGGTGAATTATAAAACTAAAGGCAATAAAAACAAAGCGCAAATTATGAACATAAGCAATATGGGTTAAAATTCTAGCAAACAAAGGCTGGGGAGATAGATCAGTGGATCATGAGGACCTGAGTTTGAATCCCCAGCACCCATATAAAAGCCACGTGTAACCGCACATTCCTCTAATTCCAGCATTAGGAGGCAGAAGCATGCAGATCCCAAGAGGGAGCTTGCTGTCAGCCAGCCTAGTCCAAAGAAACAGCTTCTAGTGCAGAAATAGACCCTGTCTCCAGGCAAGAATAAGGCAGAGAGCAGTAGAGGAAGCTACCCAGTGTCCTCTTCCAGCCTCTGCACGTGCTCACACTGGTGTCCACACCCTACACTCACATGCATGCACACACACACACACTCACACACACACACACACTCACACACACTCATGCATACATGCCTGCACACAAATCACATCACATACAAACAACAAAACAAAAAGTTTGGCAAGCAGATGTAATGTTTGACTTTAATAATACTGTGGAATCATTCTGGATGAATAGTTAAAATTATTGCTTTGATTGAGTCAAGTCAGACATACAAATTCTTCTTCTGTTACTTCAAAAAAAATACTCCAGTGAATTAGACAAATACACAAAAGGGTCATAGTTAAAGTGGATGTTTTCTGTTTTAAAGCTGGAAGGCATTCATCCTAAAGAGAAGTAATAAACCATCTCTTCTCTTACCCCTTGGATTCTAAGCTGGTCCAACACTGACCATTGTTTGAAGTGTTTTGAGTTCCTTCCCTTTACTTTCATTTAATGGGGATATTTATGCAATCCAAGAGAAATGGCTGAGGTTTTACAGTTAATTCTTGTTGCTATTGACAACCAAAGCATCCATGCAAGAAGACAGTAGTACTGTGACAGGAAAGAAAACAAACCTTTCACATGTTCTTCTCAAAGCTGGAGAGAAAAGAGAGCAAACAGCAGATGAGAAAAAGGTAAGTGAATAGCCACCAATGTGAGCACTACCAGCCCTGGGTACCGATTGAGAAAAAGGATTTAAAAAAAAATTCAGATGCTTTGTCCAACATTCATTTAAATAAAAGGATACTGACTCTAGGATCCAACAGTTAATGTTTTGAAAACAAAACATTGAAAGATACAGTATCAAAAAAGCTCTGAAATATTTTATTAGAATCTGGACTATAGGTAGCCATCATGATGGCTGTCAAGGTGGCTCAGTGGGTACAGATGCTTGCTGCCAGCCCTGAGAACCTGGGTGGGTTTCCCCAGGGCCAACATGGCTGAAGGAGAGAACCAACTCTGGTCTTCATATATACGCTGTGTACACGTGTACCTACCTGTACACACCCATACATGCAAACACACACACATACACACATACACACACACAGCCAAAACTGTTTTTAAAATGTTTTAAAAAGAACTTGGACTATAGAACAATAGCATAACTTCAATTATTGCTTAAGATTTTTGTTACAAAGTGTTTTCTAATTTAAAAAATGATGACTAAAATACTACAATTTTAAACATGTCCTAGATTTTTTGTTTGTTTGTTTCAGAAAAGCACTGAAAGTTGAATGTGTGTAAGTCTCCGGGGAATGTAACACGTTGGTCATACCCAAGCCCTGCCTCCTTACAGAGAAAAGATCTGGAATTTCTTTTTTTGGCCATTTGTTTTGCAGCTTTCTACGTCTTAAGGCAGAGACTAGCAAGAATAAGGTGCCAGCTCAAAGGTTAGATGAACACATTTCTTGACATAATTTTGGCTAATATATGTCTTGGTACTTTATAAAGCTACAAGACTTAACATTATTTGGTTTTGAGTAGCTTATTTGGGGGAAGCTATTCCAGAGGGGGTTTTTTTTGTTTGTTTGTTTGTTTGTTTTTTCTGCTTTTAGTTTATTTTAAGCTAACTTTAACTGAGCCCTTAGATTAAACTCTTCCCTCTCAGTTTCTATTTCTCTCTTGTTTTACAAATCTAATAAATTGACATCTATTGTAACCTAAAGAACAGTTTAAATTTTTAATGTTTAAAGATGCAAATCTAGGGAAAAAAAAGTCCACCAAATGAAATTACTAACACCAGCCCATCACTAACCTGTGGGAATTGTGTTTCATGTTCATTAGTTCTCCATGGAATAATTCAGGTAAGATATATTTTTACTGTATCAAATAACAGGCTGGATATTGACAATACCCTCAACCTGATGCTTTGATGCAAAAGTATATCTTGGTTAAAACATTTGCATGGTGAGTAAGGCCATTTGGTAAGACTTTCATCATTTTAATGAGCAATTGGGGTAAGATAATATCAAATTACAACTTGCAGTCGGTTCTAAGGAGGTAACAAAGGTGGTTGCTGAAAGACGCCATCCCATGCCACTGGAGAGGTTTTACAGGTAGGATTTCAAGAACATTTGGTGGGTGAGAAACTATTTAGGGCAGGTTTCTGGCCCTAAGTAGAATAGTTGAATGTGCCTACAGAACAATCTCTCTCTCCCCCTCCCTCCTTCCCTCCTTCCGTCCCTTCTCTTTCTCCCACATTCCCATAAGGTATCTCTATCTATGTACCCCCAGGTCAGCTTCAAAAAAACTCACTATATAGTTCAGGCTGACATCAAATTCTGAATCTTCTTGCCTGAACCTCCCAAGTTCTGAGATTACAGGTGTAGACTACCATATCCAACATTCTAGAATAATTCTTCTTTAAAAATTTTTAATTATGATATAATTACATTATTCTCTCCTCCCTCCAATCTCTCTCATCTGCCTCCTCTCATATTGATGGCCCTTTTTCTTTAATTATTGTTACATATGTATATGCAAATAAGTATATAAATGCAACCTACGGAGTCCATATAGTGTTGCTTGTATGTATATGCTTTTTAAGGCTAACCACTTAGGGATTGGTTGTATTGGGTAACCATTTAGCAGACTTCTTCCTGGGGAAGACTAATTCTCCCTCTCTCAGTAGTCCTCAATTGCCTGCAGCTTTTCAGCTGGGGGTGTGCCTAAGGTATTTCCTCCATCCATATTGTTGTGTCAACTCATATTTAAACAGTTTTTGATGAATGCCTTGGTCCACATGAAGATCACAAACAGAGCTTGGAGCTGTGTTTCCCTGCATTGTAGGATGAAGAGCATACCATGTTTAAATTGCCATTCATTTCCCATGTCCGTCTTTTGCAGCTAAGAAGGAATTGGAAGTAGGAAGTGTTTTCTAGTTTGTTGCTAAAATAAAACCTTTTGTGCTGCCTTTGGTTGGTACCACTTCTTTCCCATATTGTGAATAATGTCCTTCCATAAGGTCCTCGGTGGAACAGTTTTGGCTAGCTCACAGTGCTTGAACTTAGGAAAATAACTGGAAGAAAATAGCATTGAACTAGGAATCATAGTTACTATTATTTACTAGGAGATAAAGTTAGGAGCTAGGAATGCATAAAGATGAGCAAAGAATGGACCTTGGTTGTCAAGGAGCTCAGATAGATAAGATGGTTGGTCTTTGTCCCTTCTATAATTCTAACGTAGGAAAAAGGTATGGATAGAGTGTAGAGAATGAACAGAAAAGATGGCTCAGTGGACAAATGCTACATGGCCAGATGACCTTAGTTCAACTCCCAGAACCTTTATAAAGGGAAACAGGGAAGAACTGACTCTTACACATGCCATGCCACTCATGTCCTCACATGTGTGCCTTCTCTCCCCCGATAATGATAAATAAACAATTTAAGAAGAGTTGAGGAAGTTTAGGGGAAAGAATCTCTTCCTGATGTGTAGGAGCAATGATAAATTTATGGGCCCCATGGTGTTCAGGTAATTCATCCGTTCAACAGATAACGTATTAAGTAGAATGATGTGCTTGATCCTGAGTGCACCACTGCAGGTCCAGGCCTTCATCCTACTCAGCATCAGTGCTTAAGGTCCACATAGCACTGGATGAGAGAGATGAATTGTAATGTAATGTATTTTGATGATGGATACTGTGAGTGTGCCTCTGAGTGGATGCTGCCATCAACCAGGAATGATGAGCTGTGATGACACAGCTAAATTGTGATGGATAAGGAGAGTGAAGGGCACTCAGAAGACAGAAAACTATACGAAGATCTCAGAAGTCAAACTGAGCACATTCCAGGAAATGTATGAATCCTAGTTCAGTAGTGGGATGAGTGTTTGAAGGGTGTCTGATAAGAGAAGCAAGTGGAAATGTTCCTGGGAGCCTTTGATGTCATATGAAGTAGATTAGTCTTGACCACGAGGTAGTAAAGGACCACAGTGAAGATTTAAAACAAGGAAATTGCATACTATTTTAGATCCTATCAACAGGTGCTGATGAGTCAATCTTAACATACAGGTGGGTTCTTTCTGGTCAGGGTGTTTGAGCTTGTCTTTTGAAATTGTCAGTGTTTCACGGGAAACATGGATGCCATTTGCCTTGCTTCGGGGAACCTGTGGGCTAGAGTTTGTTAGGAAGCAACCCGGACAGAAGAAGTACATGTTCACTTCCTTCCGGGCAAAGGCCTGACACATGCAGACATTTCAGGTTTGGGGCTAATTTTGGAACTTCCTCTTTGGCAATCTAAGGAATAACTATTTGAGGCTCAGAGCTGGAGTCCACAGCCCACGTGGTGAAGTTAGTCTTGGTTTTGAGTAGTGGTGGGAACAAAAAGGGTAGTGAGATCCTGAGCAGTTCTAACCCGGCACAGACGGGAGTCACAGCATGAAAGCGGTGATGAGACAGGGTTTGGTGAGGACCTTTTCCGAGTACAACTTCATTTTGGTGAGAGGCAGCTGAGAGTCCTACCTCATGGGCATTTAAAGTAAGGATTCAATGAGAACATATTTACAGAGCACTTAGCTCGGGGCTGGCCAATACTCATTCTCAACAAAGCAGCTGTGAAGAAGATGGAATCAAGCAGGACTCAAACGTTTCCGGTGTTATTTGGTGGCTAGAGGACACGGGAGAAGGCATGAATGTTGACGCCAGTCTGGGATGCGCTAATCGTGGAACACTGAGAAACTTTGAAGTGATGTGTCCAGTGTGGGGCTGGTGGGCACAGGCTGATTCTGTATCCCCTCCACCAGGGACCACTCCTGTCTTCCTCCCTGTTCTTGGACCCTTCCAGCCAACTTGGAAATACCTAATACCTAATAGAGGTTCAGATTTAAGTAGAAAAATGGGTCATAGGCACCATCCTGTCACACTTGGCTGAAGTGTTTTCTAGAAGTTTTCAAATGGTGTAGAAATTCCTTTTGGTTTGCCCTTCGGCTCGCGTTTGAATGGATCAGCATTTCTTCATAGCAAGGGCTGAAGAAAGGTCAGCTCATCCTCTATAAGCAGACTGTCTTTCTCTCTGGTTAGTCTTTTTTTTTTTCTATTTTATGTCCCTACCATTTCTAATTATAGACAAATATGTGGCAGAAAGTGAATGGTCCCTGGGAAGGATGAGCAGGGTTGCTTTTTGAGTGTGTACACCCTCTTAACGGAGTCAAGTCCCAGTTCAAATGCCTCGCTCTTTTGTATGTGGCTCTTACTGTCACAGCTGAACTCTGTCCCTTCTCTACCTTTTGTTATTGCGTTTGCATGGAGCCTGGTTCATGCTACCCCAAGCTATGGTGGTGGTTTGTGAACCAACATTATTTGTTCTGCTGGAGCGTTTGCCTGTGTCTCAGACACCTTTATCCAAGAGTTCCTGCAGTGCGCCATCCATTCAGCTCAGTGCACTTCGAAATGTGTAAGGGTTAGGAATTTCTATTTTATAGGAATCATAAACTACGAAGGAGCCAAGCCTAGTGGCACATGCATTTAATCCCAACACTTGGGAGGCAGAGGTGGCTCTATATATGGAGTTCCAGTATTCACTGGGCTTTGTAAAGACCTTGGCTCAAAAACTCAAACAAAATATGGAGGAGATATAATCTTCATACACACGTTATTATTTTTAGAAAGGACAATTTACTATGAATATTAATTTCTTCATCCTGCCTCTCTAGTGACTTTATATTTTATTAACTTTGACTTAAGGTTCAAAAAGGAAGTCAGTTTACATGCCTTTAATCTACTGTGCGTAATCATTGGATTACGCACAGTAATCCACAGCTCTGGATAGAATCCTGACTGGTATCTTCGGATTGCCCTCTGTTTAAAGGATTTCCTTCCCTTTCTTTTTTACTGCAGCATGGCCCCTTTTTTGCCTTCTGTGCCTTTCTGGCCCTTCTTATGCTGCTCGTGTGAGTCCCTTCCACTGTCTCCATGACAAATGTCTGCTCATCCTTTCAGATTCAGTGCACGGCCTTGGCAGCAGCCCCTGGCATCTTTCTGACTCCCACATCTGTGCAGAGAAATTCTTCGGTGTTCTTTTAACACCTTGTATACCTGTCATGGCTGTCCTCCTTAGAAGACTGTTGCATTTCAAGAGAACTTTTGTATATTTAAAGAACTCAAAGTCTGGGAGCTAGATTTGTAAAACTCAAAACATACAATGAAATATGTATATGGAAATATATGTGTTTGTGATTTATAGTAGGCATGTAAACAGAGGCTTAGCAAAGCCCCGAGGAAGGCTGTGCTTAGTACAAGAGGCTAAAGCAAATGTTGGTGCTAGTGAAGGTTAACGTGAGTGCTGAAGCCCGAGATCTGAGCCTGAGACAAGGGGAGAATGGCATTCTGTGTGACAGCATGGAGATTTTACAGTGTCACTTCCTGGGAAATTCAGTTGACTGTGTGTGGTCGGAG